GGGGGGGGGGCGGGGGGCATGGCGTCTGCTCTGTCGGCTCTCCTCTCTTCTCCTGATCTTTTACTGCCTTCTCCCCCCTCATCCCTCCCACCCCGACCCCTTCAGTGGGACTGGATCGGATTTAATGACGGGTCCAAAATAATCTCGTGGAAAAGCTTTCTCTGGCTTCCCGTCTCTGCTGCTTTCCCGTCTGTCCCCCCCCCGCAGATGAAGACGTCTCCAGCCGCCTGTCAGCACTGCCCGTCCTCCTCTTGTTGACCTTTGGTCTCACATCCCACCCCCCTAAAAGTGGCCCGACCGGGTCTACGCTCTGTTTCTGACCCTCTCCCCCCCCTCCCCCAATGAGGTCAGAGGGTGACACCCCGTCCTCACCTCCCTCCGCTCCTTCTCGTTCCTGAACTCCGGCATGGTCTCCAGGCAGAAGATGAGGATGGACAGGATGATGACCATCACGCTGATGATGGCGATGATGCGGGCCCCCCCGGAGGACTCCGGGTACTCGAACAGCATCCAGATGCGCTGCTGCCACTTCTGGGGGGGCAGCGGGCGCTCCTCCTCCTTGGGGAAGCCCTCGTCGGCCTTGAAGCGGTCGATGATCTCCTCGCCCAGCTCGTAGAAGCGCAGCTCCTCCAGGAACATGTCCAGCGGCACGTTGGCCGGCCGCCGCAGCCGCCCCCCCGACTGGTAGAAGTAGAGGATGGCGTCGAAGCACACGCGGTTGCGGTCCAGGAACAGCTCGTTGCGCAGCGGGTCGAAGTAGCGCAGGCGGCGGCGGGGGTCGCCCAGCAGCGAGTCGGGGAACTGGGCCAGCGTGCGCAGCTGCGTCTCGTAGCGCATCCCCGACACGTTGATGGCCAGCCGCTCGCTCAGCGCCCAGCCGCTCCGCCGGGGCCCGGGCCTCCGGGGGCCCCGGGGCTCCTTCTCGCTGCTCTCCCGCTCCAGCTTGTTCAGCTTGTCTTTGCTCTGCTTCCGCTCCTCGCTGGCCTCCTCGCTGGCCTCCCGCTTCTCCCCGTCCACGCCGCCGCCGGCCTTGTCCTGGTTATGCATTTCTCTATACTTGTTGTTGTCTTTATGCTAGGGGGGGGGGGGG